AAGAAATATGGAATCACACACAAAGTTGCCACCCCTTATCACCCCCAGACAAATGGACAAGTAGAACTTGCTAATAGGGAGATCAAACAAATCTTGGAAAAAACAGTGAACCCTAATCGAAAGGACTGGTCTTTAAGACTTAATGATGCACTATGGGCCTATCGAACTGCTTTTAAAACATCATTAGGTATGTCACCTTATAGGTTGGTTTATGGAAAACCTTGTCATTTGCCTGTGGAACTTGAATACAAAGCTTATTGGGCTATTAAAGCTTTCAATTCAAACCTGGATGATGCGAGTCAGCTGCGTAAGTTACAAATAAATGAGCTTGAAGAAATAAGAAATGATGCATATGAGAATTCAAAAATTCATAAAGCAAGAATCAAAGACTTTCATGATAAAAGAATCTTGAGAAAAACATTTGATGTTGGTCAAAAAGTTTTGCTTTATAATTCTCGACTCCATTTATTTCCTGGAAAGCTAAGATCAAGATGGAGCGGTCCATTTGTTGTGAAACATGTATATCCTTATGGGGCCTTTGATATTGAGAATCCAAAGAATGGTAATGTTTTCAAGGTCAATGGACATCGTTTGAAAGCTTACTTTGATAATTTTCCTAGTGAAAATGAATCCATTGGTTTGAATGATCCTGTATATGAAGGTTGATTATTTTGTTTTTCTCATATTTTTTTTGTGTTTCTTTTTGGTGTGACTTTTGTTTTGCTAGTCTTTCTCCAACCCCGGTCAAATGGCGGATAACGGTACTCCGTGACTCTTAAGTCGGTTCTTTCAATTTCCCATGATAATTGATATCTTTGTATATATTTGTTCAATTCCTTGTTCCTTCTCTTTTCTTTACATCTCTTCTGCACTTCTCTTTAAAAACAAAACAAAACAAAAATGGACACCACTCTTGAAAAATTGAAAAAGTATTTTCCTGCTCTGCCTCAGAATGCGATTACAAAAATTTACCGTGCTAGGTGTGAAAGATTGAGGTTGTTAATGAACCATGGAATTCCTGAAGATATTCGCTGGATAATTGAAGCAAAGATCCGATTATCAGGTGAGTCTTCCAACTCTTTTATTTCATACATGCCTGGGACAGGTAAAAGCACTTTTGCAAAGAAACGTCGTGCAAAACGACTAAAAGTCTGTCACCGATGTGCCAGATGGACTTGTAATACAAAATGTCGTTCTTTAGGAATGGTATCTATAAACCGTGAAGATAAAATACAATTCATTAAGGATGGCCTGAGTAAGGAGTCTTTAGATAATCTTCTATTAACTCTTGAGACGCATCCTAGTGGAGATGTGCATCGTGCAATTCATGATTTATGGCCTCATTTTCATAAAGAACATGATCGACTTAGTCTTGGGAATCTGACTAAAAAAGACCCTGTTTGCCAGTTTTTAAGAAAACTGGATGGGAAGCCTATCCCCGACCCATAGAGGGCGTTTAAGCCGTTCTTGGACGTAAAACCAAGGGAAAGCTGTGAGCCACAATCACAACTGCTTGTACATACATTTATATATATATATATATATATAATAATAATAAAATAATAATAATAAATAAATAAATAAATAAGAAAGAGAGAGAGAGAGTAAGACTTCAGCTAGCCTACATATAGGTGGTATGCTTTGTATTTTCAATTTCTCATCTATAAAATCTTCTCTTCATTTCCATCATTTCTACTCAACCCATTCATTCAGCATATATAGAAGTGTGTAGAAATGGCAAGTTCCCCAAGTCATCATATAAGAAATATTTGTGTTTTCGGTGGATCTAGTCCTGGGAAAGAAAAAGAGTTTTTAGAATCAGCAAATCATCTTGGTCAGGTGCTAGCTGAGAGAAAGATTCATTTAGTGTATGGGGGAGGCAGTCTTGGGTTAATGGGAGGTGTGTCAATAGCTGCATTTTTAGGAGGTAGTCAAGTTTTAGGAATCGTCCCTGAAGCTTTGGCACAAGGGGACATCATTGGAAAAACAATTGGAGAGGAACTTCAGGTCTCCACAATGTCAGCTCGAATGAATGCAATGTTTAACCATGCTGATGCCTTCATTGCTTTACCAGGTGGTCTAGGCACATTGGAAGAGATCTTTCATATTTCCTCTTGGGCTCAATTGCACATTCACCATAAACCCATAGGTTTGTTAAATGTTAATGGTTATTATGATAAGTTGTTGTCTTTTCTTGATCATGCTGTGGAACAGGAATTTCTAACATCTTCTGCACGACAAATCATAATCTCTGCTACTACTGCTGAACAATTGATTGACCAACTACAATCTTTCATTCCTGTGATTGATCCTTCCATGAGTCGCATAAATTGGTCATCTAAGGAAAGCCGTAAAAAGCTTAGATTGGATTTGAGCCTTCATTTGTGAATTTTTGTGTCTTTTGGTTTTATTATTATGTTTTGTTATTTCTTATTTTTGTTTCAGTGTGTTTCAGGTTTTGTCAGTGTTCGTTATTTCAGGTGATATCTTTTATACTCTATCTTTCTACCTTAGAACATTGAGGACAATGTCTCGTTTTGGTTGGGGGGAGAGGGTAGTAGTTGATAAAAAAAAAAATTGTTTTTCATTTCATAAAGCATGTGCATAATTGTTGTTACTAGGATGGCAGAGTAAAGGAGTTCTTTTGTTAAAGTGACTCTTGAGACGCATCTTAGTAACCATTCTTAACAAGGTCTATTATAATACTTCCTGAAATATTCAGGTTTACAAACTCTCGTATTGTTACCACTTAATTCTGCTCATATACTTATTTAACATGTATTCTTAAACCTTAATTTACACACACACACTTTAACATATGATTGTGGGTTGCATATTGGATTATTACATTATTTATGTTCTTTTGTTAAAGGTAACAACTAAGGGAAAGGGATTGTATATAATTAAAAAGAAAAAAAAAAAAAAAAAAAAAAAAAAAAAAAAAAAAAAAAAAAAAAAAAAAAAAAAAAAGAAAAAAAAAATGATGATAATAAAAATGTAGATAAGTTTGGTTTCGTAGCCTCCCTAACCTAAGCAATTAAGCCCGAAGGGGTGTTTTAACACCTAATACCCTAAAGTCAACTGACTTGGGAGCTATTGGCCCAACGCTTGTTACATGGGTTGAGGAGAAAAGCTTAAAGGAATCAAACATTGCACTATCTACATATCAGTATCTGCGACCCGAGTTACTAAGCTCGTAGGGGTGTCTTAACACCTAATGCCCTAATACCAACTGGTCTGGGAGTCATTAGCTGAAAGCTCATTACATGGGTTAAAGATGCATGATATTTTTAAATTATATGTATATACATTAAAAAAAAAAGACAAAAATAATAATCCCAACCCAAGGAAGTTAACCTTAAACATTAGAACAAAAATTTTGTTTTCTTCCAAGAAAAGCCCCATAATTATGTGTTGATACATTGAGCACAAAAGAAAGGTTTATTAATATCTTGTTAAGTGGTATTGAGCAGATATATAAATTTAATGAGAGTTTGTTTATCTGGATAGATTAATGGAAGTTAAATGATGAATACCTTGCTTTGTGAAATTTGCAAATTTGTTTTCTATTTTAACGCTTTGATTACTAGGGACTAGTAATAAGCTGGTTGGGGGGTGTGATTAGTACTTAAAAGTGCATTTTTATCATGGTTTTATATCATCATTTTGCACTTGAAGTATCAATAACTCCTTAACTAAAATATGTTTTATAATAATGTATCTAATAATATAAGATACCTATAATTTATGGTAAATGTCTATTTTTAATGCAGGCCTATCACATAAATGAAAGGATTGATTGATGACTTGAAGAACTTAAATTGCAAGGATAAAGAGATGGCCAAACTTAGAAAAGAGATGTCGGTGCAATCCAAACCGGAACACTGTTCGGTAATTGGGTCATATCTGGAGCTACAGATCTCAGATTTAGGTCCAATTTATATGGATGGAAAGGTAAGACATAGGCCTACAACTTTCATATGGAGCCCAAGATCTAAAAAGGCCATTATCAAGTCCAAATTGTAGCAACAACAAAGAAGCCCGAATCTGTCTTCCAGCCCGAGCACTATTCGGTATTTTGGCCATATCTGGAGTTCTAGAAGTCCAAATGAGCTGAAATTTTTACACAAGAAAGCTGAGACAATTGCCTACAACTTTCATGTTTACAACTGGCTCCAATTTTGACGTTATCAATGACGTTTTGGGCAGACAAGAGAAGATAAGGATTGTCACCAAGTCAAAAGTTGGTCACCCACTTATCAATTAGTCATCAAATCAATAGTTCCCATTTTTGGCCTATAAAAGGAGGCATTTGCCATGCATTTAGGCATCTTGATTTCCAGATCAAGATCATGCTCTTCCTTTCTCTCTTTGTATTTTTTATGCTTTGTTTTCATTAATATTAAGTTTATGCCTTTCATTTCCTTTCCTTTACTTAGTTAACTTTTATGTTCTTATTTTGTTTATCTATTTTGCTTTCTTTCATTATGTCTAGCTAAGTTAATTATGTCAAGGTGAAAAGGTTACACTAATGGTGTAAGAATAAGTATAATGTAAACTTAATATGGACTTTAATGTTTGATACTAACATGTTTTATATTTGCTATCTTGTTCACTCTTTAATACTTTGCTTGTTAAATGACTAATCTTGATTTATGTTGTATAACACTTGGTACAACAAATGCTTGGCACTTTCATAGCCCATAATGTATGGTATAACCGACACCTGAGCTATGAAAGGAACTTGATTTGTTGTTAACATAAGTTATAATCATGAATGCTTGACGAGATTTACAAGTATTAGCATTAATTGAATAAGATGACTAATGTAATCATGTTAACAATATATAATCTGATTGGAACCTCCTTTGTGTGTGGTTTCCAATTCAATAATAAGAGTTTATACTATACTTGTTTGATATACCATTAGTGGAACCTCTAACCTTGACATTTGTTATTATCATTGTTTAATCGTTACATTAATATTCCATCTCAAAGTTCTCATCATCTTCTTCTTCTTCTCTTTCTTTATTATTATTATTATTACTACTACTACTACTACTACTACTACTACTACTACTACTACTACTACTACTACTACTACTACTACTACTACTACTACTACTACTACTACTACTACTACTACTACTACTACTACTACTACTACTACTACTACTACTACTACTACTACTACTACTACTACTACTACTACTACTACTACTACTA